TGCTTTCCTCGTCCGTGACTTCACTGTATCCTGGGAGCCCACCCCGCTACACACGCTTACAACTGTACGGTCTGCCCTCATGTTTTATGCAAACTGTTGGCGCTATATAAATCCTGTATAATAATAATAAAAAACATGACACCAATGATCTTTTTAGGTGAAGGTGGCACTCTAACCACCACTGTAAGGATTGCATTCTTCCCACAGACCACCAATGTAAAGGCATTTTTCCTACTGACCCCAATGGACTAGTTTGAGCAGGGGCTCCCTGATAACTGAAAACTACTTTAAGGGCTCCTAAAAAGATGAACAAGGAGAGAAGCTGCTGTATGGTGTCACTTGGGTGACAACTCTGAATCTACTGGGTAGCGAAAGGTCTTCATGATTAAAGAACAAGTCGAGGTAAATGTAACTAACTATTGTTAACTTGAACAGACACATTAAAGCTTGTAAAGAGTGTAAAGCAAAACAGCTATGCTTCTCCCACATCTATGGTCTGTAATTGCAATTTAAAGGAGACGTACAGCCAAAGCTCGTTGGCTGTACTTCTCCTGTGGATGTAAGCAGTGCAGTTTGCTGTCAGCTGACGTCACTTAGCCAGTCCAGGCTGGGGAAAGATGGCGACCATATGGCTGGGATCCACCCAGGAGCCTTAACCGTTACCTGGATCACCCTTTCAGCGAGCTGCTGAGATCCTGCCCCCCCCTCCACAGCCCAGCACTTCAGTGAGCGCTGGGGGGGCAGAGCAGACAATGGTGACCGCTGTCTGCTCAGAGTGGCTGTGAGAACTCAGCGATCAATGGTCATGGTCATATGATCGCTGAGTTCTCACATAAGTAAATTGGGGGTAAAAAATGCAATCCACTACTTCTCCCCTACTTCAATTTCATGAAAACTAGATTACACATCAGGCTGAGTGGGAGTGTCAAAAAACACACTTAGATCGGAGGGGAGAACTGAGGGTTCAGCATTGTCTGATCACTCATTTCTCAGCCTCAGAGCCGAGGGGGACAGATGTACTGTTGGATCGATGCTGCAGCCACCTAGATAAGTATGATTTAGAAAACAAATTCCAAATTTCTCTTTTAATTTGACAAAAAATTGCCCATAAAAAAGCAATGTGTTCCAAAGTATGAGATGGAGAATTAAAAAATTGCCCGTGTAAGCTTAGCCTAACTCTTTTATCATCCAGGTTTTGAACATTTCTCCATAAATGATCCCAGTCCCATGTGTGGAAGAGCCACCATTATAAGTTCAGGTTACACAAGTGTGGTGAGTGAACAGCTCTCAGATGGCATAAAGTCTCCTTTTCTGGATTCCTCACTCAGCTGTAAATGATATTATGTAGGTGAAATCAATGACATGCAACAATGATCACCTGCAAGCCCCCAGCAGCCCAGTTACATAACTGACACAACAGCAGGTGTTTCTTATTTACAGTGAAATGTAAGGATTCACGGTGACTTCAAAACCTCCAATAACTGTAGACAGTTTCATAAAATTATTTAAAAGTGTTACTAAAACCACAACAGAAAAATCAGTCTGTATATGCAGTAAATCATGCTTGTTATTCTCACTGTGGAAACTAAGGGGTTAATCTTCTGCATTATGTAAAAAGGCTGTTTGGTCCTGGCTTCTCTGATCCTCCCCTTCTTCTACTGTCCCCAATTTATCTGCTGATAGTACAGAGCCCTAGGAGACACTCTGCACATTCTCAGTGTGGTGTGTATTTGCTAGAGTTATTTTTTTGTTTGTATTGTAATTGGAACAGGGCCAATCAGCAATTTCCAGAAAGAGGGTCATTCAGCCTCATAGGACAGTCAGAGGAGAATGAAAACTCCTCCTAAAGCTTTACCAGTGCTCAGCTGGACACTGATATAAGTCACAAGACTGCTATATGCTGCTGATGAGAAAAGGTATTTAGCAATTTACATTTAATAAAATAATTGCATTTCCATGTTCTGTGTACTGTGGGAGACCAGATATAGTGAATGCAGTGCCCTGGGTTTAGTAACACTTTAAGCTCTACACACAATTTTGAGAAAAAACAGTGCAACAGAAAATTACATTTTCGGGTGGAGTTATGTCAAAAAAAGTACAAATTGCCATGGTTGAAAAGAAGCACAATTTTGCTTTTTAACTACATAGTTAGTCTGGCTGAAAAAAAACAAAAGTCCATCCAGTTCTGCCATTAAAAAAGTTATAATCCAATACCCACAATTGATCAAGAGGAAGGCAAAACAATGATTCTATTTGCTCCTGCAGGGGAAAAAATTCCTTCCTGATCCTGCGAGAGGCAATCAGATATTCCCTGGATCAACTTTACCTATAAATGTTAGTATCCAGTTATATTCTGTGTATCTAGGAAATAATCCAGGCCGTTTTTGAAGCAATCCACTGACCTTGCCAGAACCAACTCTTGAGGGAGTCTATTCTAAATCATCACAGCTCTTACTGTGAAGAAACCTTTCCATGTTTGGAGATTACATTTCTTTTCCTCCAGACGTAAAGAGTGCCCCCTTGTCCTCTGTGATGACCTCATGGTGAATAACTCTACACCGAGTTCACTATATGAACCACTGATGTATTTATACATGGAGATCATATCCCCCTTATATATTATACATGTTGATCAAATCCCCCTTATGTATTATACATGGAGATCATATCCCCCCTTATATATTATACATGTTGATCAAATCCCCCCCTTATGTATTTATACATGGAGATCAATATCCCCCCTTATGTATTATACATGGAGATCATATTCCCTCTTAATCTCTTCTCAAGAGAGAATAAATTCAGTTCCTCTAATCTTTCCTCATAGTTGAGCTCCTCCATGCCTCTTATCAATTTGGTTACCCTTCTCTGTACTTTCTCCAGTTCCCCAATGTTCTTTTTGTGAATTGGTACCCAAAACTGAACTGCATATTCCAGATGAGGTGTTACTAATGATTTGTACCGGGGTAATATGATATCTCTCTCTGGAGTCTATACCTCTTTTAATACAAGAGAGGATTTTGCTCGCTTTACAAACTGCAGCTTGGCATTGCATGCCATTATTAAGCTTGTGATCTACCAGAACCCCCAGATCCTTCTCCACCATTGACCCCCCAGTTGTACCCCCCTAGTATGTATGATGCATGCATATTCTTAGCCCCCAAGTGCAGAACCTTACATTTATCAACATTAAACCTCATTTGCCACATAGTTGCCCAATTACACAGTGCACTGAGGTCGGCTTGTAAATTGGAGACATCCTGTAAGGACGTTATTCCACTGCACAGCTCGGTGTCATCTGCAAAGACTGAAATGGGGTTTTATAATCCCAGACCCTATATTGTTTATAAATATATTAAAAAGTAAGGGTCCCAAACACTGAACCTTGGGGTACACCACTGACAACCCTAGACCATTCAGAGTATGAATCATTAACCACTACTCTCTGAATACGATCTTTTAGCCAGTTTTCTATCCATTTACATACAGATTTTTCCAAGCCCGTAGACTTTACCTTACACATTAGCCATGTGTGGGGAACTGTGTCAAATGCTTTTGCAAAATCCGAGTACACCACGTCCACCACCACCCCTCTGTCCAAGTATACCACGTCCACTGCCACCCCTCTGTCCAAGTATACCACATCCACCACCACCCTCTGTCCAAGTATACCACGTCCCCCGCCACCCCTCTGTCCAAGTATACCACGTCCACCACCACCCCTCTGTCCAAGTATACCACGTCCACTGCCACCCCTCTGTCCAAGTATACCACATCCACCACCACCCTCTGTCCAAGTATACCACGTCCACCGCCACCCCTCTGTCCAAGTATACCACGTCCATCGCCACCCCTCTGTTCAAGATTCTGCTCATCTCGTCATAAAAAGAAATCAGATTTGTTTGACAACTTCTGTCTTTCATGAATCCATGCTGGCTGTTGTTTAAAATATTTTTTACAAGCAAGAACTCATCTATGTGGTCTTTTATTAACCACTTGCCTACCGGGCACGTATACCCCCTTCCTGCCCAGGCCAATTTTCAGCTTTCAGCGCTGTTTCACTTTGAATGACAATTGCACGGTCATGCAACATTGTACCCATATGAAATTTTTATCATTTGTTTCCACACAAATAGAGCTTTCTTTTGGTGGTTTTATTTTTTGTGCTATAAACAAAAAAAGAGCGAAAGATTAAAAAAAAAGTTTTTCTTTGTTTCTGTTATAAAATTTCACAAACAGGTAATTTTTCCCCTTCACTGTTGTTCGTTGATGAGGCTGCACTGATAGGCAGGACATGATGGAGATGGATGTACTCCCTGTGTCATGCTGACTGACGCAGGGAAACGCAGACCTGGATGTATAAACTTTTATATGCCTGTGATTAGTTTGAAATAGGAAAGCAAGCGGGAATATCTGGCAGGAACACCAGGGATTTAGCAAACAAAACAGAGGTAAGGAAGCAATACAAAGCAGAACAGAGGGTCAGGCAGAGGGATGGTCAGACAAGCCATAATACTTTTTAACACAAGGCAGAGTACATTATTATTAATCATTATTATACTGGATTTATATAGCGCCAACAGTTTGCTCAGCGCTTTACAATATAACGGGAGACAATACAGCAACAATACAGTTCAATACAAGAGGGATAGGAGGGGGATACGGAGGGCTCTGCTCCTTGGAGCTTACAATCTAGGAGATGTTAACAAGAGACACATATCAGGAATATGACACTTTGGGGTAACATATTCTTTAACTAGTTGCCGACCGCAGATAGCCGAATGACAGCTAAACTGCGGCCGGCCAGTTCTGAGTGGACGTCATATGACGGCCCCCCAGAACGCGCTCTCCTGCGCACCCCAGGGGGCGCGCACCCGGCGATCTCCGTGATTGCTGTGTCCTACGGACACAGCTGATCACGTGATGTGGTAAAAGGCCGATCACAGCGGGCCTTTTACCACGTGATCAGCGGTGTCCAATGACACGCTGATCAGAGGGAAATGCAAGTGCCGGTTCTCGGCTGCACTTTCCTCACGCTGTCAGATCGTGAGGAAAGTACTGCCGAGAACCGGCAGTTGTCACAGCGGGGATCGGCACCGATCATCAGGGCACTGATGATCAGTGCCCTGATGATCGGTGCCCAGCAGTGCCACCCGCAAGTTCCGCCCACCTGTGTGCCCAGCAGTGCGCCCACTAACTCCGCCCACCTGTGCCCAGCAGATCACCCACCTGTGCCCAGCAGTGCACCCACCTGTGCCCAGCAGTGCACCCACCTGTGCCACTCTGCAGTGTCACACACCTGTGCCCAGAAGTGCCACCTACCTGTGCCCAGCAGTGCCACCCACCTGTGCCCACCCAACCTGTGCCCACCAGTGACACCCACCTGTGCCCACCCACCAGTGCTGCCCACCAGTGCCACAGCACCAGTGCAGCCCAAGCAGTGCTGCCAGTCAGTGCCACCAGTCAGTGCCCAGGGGTTGTGCCAGTCAGTGCCCAGCAGTGATGCCAGTCAGTGCCGTCTATCAGTACCCATCATCGGTGTCACCTATCAGTGCCGCTTATCAGTGCTGCATATTAGTGCCGCCTATCCGTGACACCTCATTAGTGCTGTCTATCAGTGCCGCCTATCCGTGCCACCTCATTAGTACTGCCTATCAGTGCCCTTTAGTGCTGCCTATCAGTGCCCATCAGTGCCGCCTATCAGTGCCCATCAGTGCCGCCTCATCAACGTACATCAGTGAAGGAGAAAAAAATACCTGTTTGAAAAATTTTATAATAGAAACAAAGAAACTTTTTTTTTTTTTTCAAATTTTTTTTTTGCACTTTTTTTATTTATAGCGCAAAAAGTAAAGTGCCCAGTGGCGATTAAATACCACCAAAAGAAAGCTCTATTTGTGAGAAAAAAAAAATGATCAAAATTTCATATGGGTACAATGTTGCATGACCGCGCAATTGTCAATCAAAGTGCGGCAGCGCTGAAAGCTGAAAATTGGCCTGGTAAATAAGGGGGTATAAGTGCCTGGTAGGCAAGTGGTTAAAGGATAAGTTCACTTTTGGAACATGTTACATGATCCACCTGTTTTTAGGATGGAACATGTAACATGTTCCCATAGCCGCAGCCGCTCCTGCTGCCCTCCCTCTGACACAGATAATATGGGGAGAAGTTTCCCCGTACTATCTGTCAGATTTGAAAACAGCGCAGCTGTACAGCAAGTACATATTCCGAAAGGTCTGCAGGAGATCTACATGGCATCAGTGATCTACTGATCGCTGGTGGAATGCTTTCTAGGCTCCTTTGGACAAAAATAATAAATGCACATTTTTTTACCTGCAAAAAAATGTTTTATTTATTATTTTTGTCCAAAAGGTGAACTTATCCTTTAAATTACAAAATGGCCTGAAGAGTAATTATAATGGTATGAAAAAAATGGTATAGCAATTAGCTTATATGCTATTTATATATTTTTTATATATAAACTAGAAAACTAAAAAAGTGGGGCGTGTTTGTATGCAATGGAGGCTTCATTAAGTGGATATGTAATTTTTTTTTTTTAAATTTGATTATTTCTTTTGTTGTTAATAAAAGTGACATTATCTTTAAACCATTAAGAACTTTTATGGTTCAAAAACTGCATCAATCAATATACGTAGATTTCCTATTTTGTCTGCAGCTTATAATAATTTACATAAAATTGTATTATTTTATATATTATATTTATAAAAATGAAACAGCATTCATTTACCCTCCAATATTTGGAATTTGTGCTCTCTTCAGCAGTGGGTCACGTGACCAGAACCCCCCAAGGGTCTAATCAGTCAATGGCCTGGTAAAGGATCCCAGATTAAAGAGACACATTCCACCTGACCCACAAACCTCTTCCTTCCACCACAAGCTTTTGCAGCTCCTCCTTCCATCATGCCACAAGTAACAGGCTCTCCTTATGACAGCCAACTTTAATCATTGCGGGATAAATTAGCTGCTGTCGCAATTTGTTACCACTGAAAGTTCGAAACCGCATCTCTACAAACTACTTTTTGTAAGGATTGCCTACAAAAATGAAGGGCAGTCCTTCTATACTCTTCCTATTACCATTCTGTTTTAAGTAACCTATTTATTCAATAAACATAATGCTCTTTTATTGTACAGCGATTGATAATTTGCCCACTATGTCATTGCAAATGTGAAGATCTGCAGGATACATGTTAATATATTACATTGGGATGTTTGTTTCTTTTCTGCATTCACATGGAAATAAGGCATTATCATGGAATAAAGTCATCTGGAGATAAATACGTGCATTCTAAATAAAAGATTTTTTAAGGAAATTATAGTATTTGCCATTATTTTCCAAAAATATTCAAGTTTGACTTATTATAAATTATCTTTTCAGTGTGAGTAAAAGATGAATTCCAAAAGACTGTATCACAAATTTATGCTGGACATACACTAGTAGTTTTTCAAACAAACATTTGTGCATACATTTGCTTTGACAAATGTTGTCTGAAAGTACTTTAAAATTTCATTTGCTTTTAACATTTAATTTGCCAAAGAATGACCTTACCAAATGAAAAACGCATACACTGTTGGACATTCATTCATAAGAGAAAAAAATTCCATCCTGCTCCTTCAAATTTTCTTGTAACTGCATTGAAAAATAAACATCAATATGACCCACTTAAGCTTGCCAAATAGGGATCTTTTTTTTTTTGAGCAGTCAGCTGATCAAAGAACGAACAAATTCCCCCATCCAAAAATCCTCCTTGTTGCACCTTTGTATTCTGACAGCAGGGACTCTTCAGCTGTCAGAATACATTGATCAATGCTGCAGTTTATTGGCTGAAGCGCAGATTGAACAGAACTTTTCCAGTAGTCCCGTTCGTGAGAAAGCGATCATTAGATCGACTACCCATGAATGGGGAATGGTCATAGATGGATCGAAATTTGGTCAGTCCCTGCTGAACTGGACAAATTTTTAGTTAATCTATGGCCAGCTTAATGAATGATTAGAAGATCGGATGAACATTCTTAAAGCAAAACATTTCTACTAGGGTATAACCAGCTTTACATTGGTCAAGCTTGTGGTTGTGGCGCTCGTAAGTTTCCAGCAGCTTCTGTCCCTATTCTATCCATTGCTCTCCACCCATGATACCCATGCTTTTTGAGTAGTACTATTTGAGTAATGAATAATGATTTTACGGTGATACTACATTATGGGTGTTTGTGCAGTCTCTTCCACTTTTTGTTTTTGTTGCACAAGAATATGTATATACATACTTACATTGATCTAAACTGATTCAATGTAACGTGCAATAAAATCCATACCTGGAAGCTTTAATCTTTTTGAAAAAAATGTTTTCCTTGTATGGTTTGTAAATATATACTGTATGTACTTGTGGGCAGCCATATTTGCTCATTACATCATTATTATTATTATTATTATACAGGATTTATATAGCGTCAACAGTTTGTACAGCACTTTACAATATAAAAGGAAAACAATACAGTTACAATACAATAAAATACAAAAAGGAGTGCTTACAATCTAACAGAGTGGGGTAAGTTGTACCAAAGGTAATAACTGTGAAGGATGGGCTGATGGCAGAAATAAAGGTTCAGTTTATTATGTAGAGACAAGATAGGCTTCCTTCAAGAGATGAGTTGTCAAAGATTGCCTAAAACTGGCCAGTGTAGGAGACAGCTGTGCAGATTGAGAGTTCCAGAGGATGTAAGAAGCTCTGGAGAAGGCATGGAGACAAGGATGGGAGAAGGAGACAAGAGGGCTAGAGAGCAGGAGGTCCTGGGAGGAGTGGAGAAGATGTTTTGGTTGGTATATGGAGACAAGATTAGTGATGCAGCTTGGGGGCAGAGTTGTGAATGGCTTTGTAAGTTCTTGTTAGTATTTTGAATTTAATTCGCTGGGCAATCATAAGCAAGTGGAGGGATTGGCAGGGATTGGTGGCAGACACTGAGTGGTTGGTACAGTAGATGAGTCTGGCAGCAGCATTCATGATAGACTGAAGAGGTGATAGCCTGCATAGAGGTAGGCCTAAGAGAAGGGAGTTACAATAGTCAAGGCAAAAGATAACAAAGGAGCGAATGAGTAGCTTGGTGATTTCATTAGTTAAAAAGGGGCGCATTTTACAGAGGTGAGGTCTGCAAGCTTTTGACAGTGATCTGATTGGGGGCTGAAAAGACAAGTCAAAGTCTAGGATTACACCTAGTACCTTGGAAAGAGGTAATAGTGATCTGTATGGAAAAGTCACGGAGGAGGGCATGGGGGGGTGAATATTACAAGCTTGGTTTTGAAAGATTTAGTTTAGCGTCAGATGCAGTGGTGTAAAGCACACCGCTACTGGACTCTAGAGCAGTGGAGACATGTTCTCTGGAGTGACGAATCGTGCTTCCCTGTCTGGCCATCCGATGGAATGAACATTGTCTGGGTTTGGCAGTTGCCAGAACTGTACTTGGCTGACTGCATTGTGCCAAGTGTAAAGTTTGGTGGAGGGGGGATTATGGCGTGGGGATGTTTTTCAGGGTTGGGCTTGGCCCCTTAGTTCCAGTGAAGGGAACTCTAAAGGCATCAGCATACCAAGACATTTTGGACAATTTCATGCTGCCAACTTTGCAGGGACAGTTTGGGGATGGCCCCTATCTGTTCCAACATGGCTGGGCACCAGTGCACAAAGCAATGTCCATAAAGACATGGATGAGCGTGTTTGGGTTGGAAGAACTTGACTGGCCTGCACAGAGTCCTGACCTCAATCCGTTAGAACACCTTTGGGATGAAATAGAGCGGAGACTGCGAGCCAGGTCTTCTCGTCCGATATCAGTGCCTGACCTCACAAATGCATTTCTGCAAGAATGGTAAAATCTTCCCATAGACACACTCCTAAACCTTGTGGACAGCCTTCCCAAAAGTGTTGAAGTTGTCATAGCTGCAAAAGGTGGGCCAACTCAATATTGAACTCTACAGACTATGACTGGGATGCCATTAAAAGTTCATGTGCGTGTAAAGGCAGGCGTTCCAATACTGTTGGCAATATAGTATTTATATATATAATTTTAAAAAATAAAAGGAGTTTCTATAATCCTCAAGAACCATTTGAAGCTAACTGCATTTGAAAGCCACCAAAACTATTTTAAATTTGATGTCCCTGTTGATTTTATTCTCCAAGGTTGGAAAATTTTGACAAAGTGAAAACTCTCAATTTGATTGAACTGAACGCTGCTTGACGGCAGGGGCATGGGGAAAGGTGATTATTTACACTGTTATTTTCCTGGTAATTAAGGTTTTAAGCATTATTTGCTGCAACAGAGTCACGTTATTGTGAACCTATCAAAATAGAAACATTGAAGAAAAACGCTCTCTCTTTCTCCAATA